TATAGATCTATTTATTTAATAATTATATGTTTATATTCAATCAAATTATAGTATCTTAAAATATTTTTAAAAAACTATTAATATTATAAATACCAATAAAATCATATTTCTATTCAAAAGAAAATTAATTGCTTTAATTGTTTACTCCTTAGTGTTTCTTATGACTTATTATTCTCATAATTTTTCTTTTAAATAAATAATTTAGTATCATTCTAAGATTAATTCATCAAGGATTAATTTTTATCTAAAACCCTTAATAATCCTAATTATTGCTAAATAAAGATTTTCATATTGCTTTTTAATACAATAATATATGATATTTATTTAAAATTAACACAATTAAATTTGCCAAAACTTTTTTTAGATCAATCATCCAGTAATTAAATTCCCAATAAAATACTACAAAATTTTAGCTAAAAATATGTTCAAAATTTTATCATCTCGATAAAATGAATTTTTAATATTTAGAGAGATCGAGTTGATCAAAATATAATTTAGCAACTAAATGAATCTATAAATTTATATATCCATATTATATCTGGTGAGAAAGAAGACTATATCTGAACCCTGATGCAAATGAATTTATATTTATTTTAATTATGTAAAGTTTAAAAAAAAAATCATTTTGATCTAAATTTCTCGCTAACATATTTTCACATAGAATTTAAAGTATTCCTAATTAACAGGCTCAAGAATTACAACTTAACTAACAGCTATCCAAATATAAAATTAGGAGGATTTTGTTTTTTGTTGAAGTGAGTTTTCAAGTATCTACAATATTTTAAATAATAAATTATCAAGATAAATTTGATGAAAAAAAAAAAGCCATTATTTTTTAAATTCATAAAGCGAATAAAAGGAATAATTAAAAAAATCTTTGAAATTGGAAATAACAAATGTATTATGATATTAATTCTATAATTTTGCTGTAATGAATATTTTTTAAAATAAGAAATTTTAAAAATATTCAGTTTTCTAACTAACTATGAATTAGTAATATTAAACAATATAAAAAATTAAGAAGAAATCTATTGGTCTATATTGAAATTATACGCTAGTACAATTTTATAAAGTAGGTATTTTAAATTCATTTTTTAATTTAGGAATAAATTTGTGCATTATTGAAAAAATTGATTAAAATCAACTGCTGAAAAAGCATGAGAAAATTTTATTATTTAAACTAATGTTTATTCATAAAATATGACACAAACAAAGAATACCGACTTTTTAAAATAAATAAGTTTTTAAACTTGTTTATCACTGATTCTTATGAGATTTTTCATTATTATAAATCTATAAAAATATATTTAAATAAATCTAACCTTGATTCTAGGGAGCATCATTTGATTAAGTCATAAAATTTTTTATGATGTAAAACATAATAAGTTAAGAAAATTAACTTTAAGTTCTCTTTAAAGTTAAAAAGAGAATTGTTTTGTGATTAAAACAACCTTTATTAAAAATAATGAACATGAAAGTTGTTTATAACTATATTCACTCTGTTTAAGATTCTCTTCCCTCATTGGTAGGCTAAGAACTAAGTATAACAGGCTAATTTTATTTTTCAAATAATGGAAGCTTTGCAGCCGGACATTCAAATTGATTAAAAGCAAAATCAAAAATATGCATTGAGGAAGGCAAACTTGGTGGTGGACTATCAATGATAATAAGCAAGGTGACTCTTTTTGGTTTTGCTGTAGCACATCCCATTTATTGTATAATAATAAATGAATTAATATCTGACCATTTAGATCCAAAAAGAGCTATTTTTATTGTAATGTAATCATATTAGAATTTTTGATAAAATATTATAAATTGTCTGTTAGATTTTACTTGATGTCTCAATTAATAAAGCCTATATCTGCTCAATCACCTTCTAAATTAAGAAGTTCAGTGTCTCAGTACACATAATTAAAAAGTCCTTATAATAATGAAATTCAACAAGGTATATGGTCATTGTATAAAAGGCTCTACATAGCAAAAGTCTTAGTATAGTTTAAGAAATTCTCATTATACGAGTAAATTCGAAAAGAGTATTGATATGGATATGAAATAGAGCAATAGCTTTAATAATCCTGAATTTGAGATTAAAAATTGATGAATTTAGTTGAATTACAATAACATGAAATAAATAATTGGAAGCGTAGATATGAATAAGCAGAAGCACGAGTATTTTATTAAAAATTATGCTTAGGGTATGAGTTCTTATTCAGCTTAAACTTTGAAGGATTATGATAATCATTTAGATTAATTAACCAAAGAATTAAAAAGTTACATTTTTATAAATGATGATTTAAATTGCAAATTGAAAGATAAAGATAATTAGATATCCAAACTCAATTGATAATTAGATAATTATCAATAATAGTTGAATGATTACTAATCTTAATTAAAGTTATTGAGAAAGAAAAAGTTAATTAGATAAAGATGCTTCTCTACAACTTTATTAGAAAGATTAGAGATATAATCAGAATTTATCAGATATTTAATAGACACATTTTGAATAAATGTAAATGATGGATGATTGAGTTTAAAAATTGTAAGATGAATTAATCAGAAGAAATTAAGCTATTGAATTTTAAAAAGAAGAAATTTAATCATTTGATAAAATTATTAATGAATTGAAAATAGGAGAAAAGACTTTAATGCAATCATTAGAAGCTTATAAAATTAAATATTAAGATTTNGTTCTCTTTAAAGTTAAAAAGAGAATTGTTTTGTGATTAAAACAACCTTTATTAAAAATAATGAACATGAAAGTTGTTTATAACTATATTCACTCTGTTTAAGATTCTCTTCCCTCATTGGTAGGCTAAGAACTAAGTATAACAGGCTAATTTTATTTTTCAAATAATGGAAGCTTTGCAGCCGGACATTCAAATTGATTAAAAGCAAAATCAAAAATATGCATTGAGGAAGGCAAACTTGGTGGTGGACTATCAATGATAATAAGCAAGGTGACTCTTTTTGGTTTTGCTGTAGCACATCCCATTTATTGTATAATAATAAATGAATTAATATCTGACCATTTAGATCCAAAAAGAGCTATTTTTATTGTAATGTAATCATATTAGAATTTTTGATAAAATATTATAAATTGTCTGTTAGATTTTACTTGATGTCTCAATTAATAAAGCCTATATCTGCTCAATCACCTTCTAAATTAAGAAGTTCAGTGTCTCAGTACACATAATTAAAAAGTCCTTATAATAATGAAATTCAACAAGGTATATGGTCATTGTATAAAAGGCTCTACATAGCAAAAGTCTTAGTATAGTTTAAGAAATTCTCATTATACGAGTAAATTCGAAAAGAGTATTGATATGGATATGAAATAGAGCAATAGCTTTAATAATCCTGAATTTGAGATTAAAAATTGATGAATTTAGTTGAATTACAATAACATGAAATAAATAATTGGAAGCGTAGATATGAATAAGCAGAAGCACGAGTATTTTATTAAAAATTATGCTTAGGGTATGAGTTCTTATTCAGCTTAAACTTTGAAGGATTATGATAATCATTTAGATTAATTAACCAAAGAATTAAAAAGTTACATTTTTATAAATGATGATTTAAATTGCAAATTGAAAGATAAAGATAATTAGATATCCAAACTCAATTGATAATTAGATAATTATCAATAATAGTTGAATGATTACTAATCTTAATTAAAGTTATTGAGAAAGAAAAAGTTAATTAGATAAAGATGCTTCTCTACAACTTTATTAGAAAGATTAGAGATATAATCAGAATTTATCAGATATTTAATAGACACATTTTGAATAAATGTAAATGATGGATGATTGAGTTTAAAAATTGTAAGATGAATTAATCAGAAGAAATTAAGCTATTGAATTTTAAAAAGAAGAAATTTAATCATTTGATAAAATTATTAATGAATTGAAAATAGGAGAAAAGACTTTAATGCAATCATTAGAAGCTTATAAAATTAAATATTAAGATTTAATTGATGAAACAAAAAAGGAAATCAATAAGCAAAATTAATAATTTGAAATTACAGTTCAACAATTAGAAAAAGAGTTTCTTGATGAAAAAGCGTTTCTAATTGATTAAATTAATTAAATGTAGTATGAAATAACTATGTTAAACTAATAGATCTAAGAATCTTCAAGTAAGATTCATAATATTTTAAGATCTAAATCATCATTATGAGATGAAATTCACTCATGAGTTGAATAGAATTGTTATCTTTAGGAATAACATCAAATTACCGCATAGGATTTAGAATAAAGAATAAAAAAATTATATAGTAACTTAAAATCGAATATGAGTAACAAAAAAATAAGTAATGTTAAGAAATTACTAAATTAACTTCCTAATTGGAAATTATTTCATAGTAACTTCATGAAAATTAAGAATTGAATCAAGAATTGTAAATTGCTTTAGACATACTAAACAAGCATAATGAAAATACATCTTAGCAATTAATTAGATTACAAAATGGATTCGAATCATTGTAAAATTAATAAGAAAATGACATATTTGAATAAAATTAAGAAATTGAACATCTAAATGATTAAATTTCCCAATTAACTGAACTATTTGAATAAAATAATGTAAATTATCTAAAAATTTATCATTAGCTTTTGATCTAAAGGCTATAAAACGAACTAGAAACTTAGAAGTAAAAATTAATTGAAATCCAGAAATAGTATTAAATTCAAGGATAAGTAAAATAGGAGATAAGTAAATCCCAATTTGAATAAATGAAAAGACAAATCGAATCTTAAATAGAACTATTAGATTATGAAAAAAAAACGATATTATATTAATTTGAAATGAAAAAAGAGAATGCAAAGAATGGAAGCAACAAAATAATAAAAATTTTTGATGCTGATTTTTTTAATCATTACTTATTAGTGATTAGAAGATATTATTTTTTATTTTATAAATCTTATAAATTAAATATTAACATTCTAAAATTATTGAAAATATACATCCATCAAGAAAATATATTTTGAAATTATCATATGCAGAAATCTTAAAGCAATCGTTGTGTATAATTATAATAATTTTATTCATTTATTGAAAAAAGTAACTATTTTAATATATACAATTTCCTTAAGTCTATTTTTATTTTTCGTAGGCTTAATAAATAATATATAATAATAATTCATTAATTGAAGCTTTCATCTATTTTCACACAAGTTTATTCTAACAATCTTAGAATACTTTCATGAGACTTTTCTTTCTGTAGTTTTTCAATTTAAATTTCTGATTGAATTTTTTAATGAACCTCTTCAATCATTGAAAATATTTTTTTTTCAGTTTCTTCTCTGACTGACCTCTCTATTGACATCATTTCTTAAAATTTATTTAATTCCAAATCCATTTATTCTATTAAGTGAGCCTGTGAATCAGACCTTGAATATAAAATAAAATATATACCGAGTTTATTATTCATTTTCTATAGTATATCGCAGTTCTTTTAATTAATTACTTACATCTCCTATTTATCTATTTAATTTATCATAATAAGTTGAGTTATTTTTTTCAAGCATTCCATGAACTGTATCGAATCTATCTTCTATTTATTTTAAGAGCTACATTTCTACTCTTCTCTTACTCTATTTTATTATTAAATAATTTTTTACATTTCTTTCCTCATCTAATTATTTATTAATTAATTCATCAAATTGTTATAGTTATTCTTGATATCGTACATAATGCTCTTTTCCAAATTTTTCATTATTTATTTGATCACTGATTTTTTAAGTTTATTCTTTTAATGTCTATTGAAATCATGCATAATTTACCTTAAACCTATCTTCATCCTTAAGTTTATCATAATTCAATAGGCTATCAATCTTTTAGAGAGATGCATCAATAATTTCTTTTTTTTCAAATTTATCTCTATCTATTCCAGCTTTTAATTAAGTCCATTTATCTGCTAATGCTTGCATTTTTTAGAATGATGGTGATTCTGATCTTACTTATGAATTACTGATTATCTGAGATGTTGAAAATTTCATTTCTTCTAAATTTTTAAATTAAAATTCTTCTTTTGTTTGTTAGAATTAATATTAAATAATATAAATTTTTATTATAGTTTTTCAATAATAATTCAAGTAATTCTTTCTAATTGCATGCGATATAATTGTTCAATTTGTTTAAAAATGAACTTTGAATTAAGCAAATATATATATTTCTTAACTTCTAAAAACATATTATTATAACATTAATAAAATAATTTTTCATTTAATTTCTAGTTGCTATTTGAAAATCATATTAAACAAATAAAAATATATATATCTCTTGTAAACATTATTTTGGATTTAGAGTTACATAATTTGCCAAATCTTTAAAATTAATAAAAGTATTTTAGATATCAAAACTTTTCACAAAGATAGAAAGAAATTTAATTAGAGTTCTAATTTTTTCTCAAAACTTAATGAGATCTTTTTAAGTGAAAAAAGTTGATTACTGATGTCCAAAAATATATTTTTTTTATATAAAATTAATAATTTTTATTTTTGAATTTGAATGAATAAGACAAAAAATAATCATAGAAGAGCGTAGTCCAATAATGATTTTTAATAAATAATGAGTTCTAAAATTGCTGGAATGATTGAATCAAATTCTCATAAAAATCTACATAAAAAGCAAAGCTTTGGTAATATGCTGTTTCAAATCCCTGAATAAACTGATATTGGGTCTTCAACAGAATAATCTCATCATTCTGAAAAGAAAAGCTGTCTTAATGATTATGTGCAATCAACAAAAAAGAATCATTCATAAGATCAAAAAGAAAACCTTATAAATCCAAATTCATGCACAAACATCATCTCATCAATTTAATATATGATTAAAAGTAGTCATCCAATAAAAGAAATTGCTTAAAAAACTTTAAATAATGAAAGTTAAAGTAAAAAAAAGCATCTTAGTTTTACAAATGAATTGTAAAAGAAAAATAGCCAAATTTTCCATTAATCAAATAAAATAGACATGTCATAAAGTTTGACTCCAGATAGAAAAAAAACTGATAATAATAATAGTAAACAGAATAGTTACAAATAAAAATCAGATCAACAACAAATAGATGGACTAGAGAAATAAAAAATAGAATTATCAAATTTTTTATTGAACAATTTATTAAAAGGTGATTAAAAAAAGAAATCTAATGTAGAATAATTAGACTCATTTAGAAAAATGGAATTTCAGATGAATATGATTCAGAAAGACATTTCAAAAATAAAAAGAAGATAAGATGAATTAGATTAATTTAATAGGAATATATAGACTCAATTATTTGATTTTATTTCGGAAAGCAGAAAATATTAGGATGTAAGAATAAATTTAAATTTAGTATGGATATTTATCTCTCTAAAAACTCGAATATTTAGAACAAATAACCAGAAGAAATGAAGAATCAATAAAGTTGCTAAAATAAAAACTTTTTAATAATGAATTATAGTAGACATCAACTAAAAATTAAGAAAATAATATCAATTTTGGGTATTTGATTGAATTAATTTTAGTAATATTTCTTCTTATAAACAAGAACTTGATATACAAAAAAAAATATCAGATTTTAAGTATATCAATAAATAATATAATTGAAACTTAATTCAATTTTGAATTTATAATTAAAATAAATTAAATCTTTAACTTAAATTTTTAGATGATATATCCTAATTGATTTAAATAAAAAATAGATATAATATAGAATCTTAATTAAAACCAGCAAGAATAATTAATTCATTTCTGGACTCTACTTAAAAGAGTGTTAGATCTTAAATATTTGTTTTCTGAATCCTCCACAGATGTCTAAAATCTTCTATTCAAGTCATTGAAAAAACTGTGATCTCTCTTTCTCTCACCATTAATTTCTTTGCCTACAAACTAACTTGATTTAGTAGAATGAGTTTTATTAGTATCTTAAAGAATCTATTTTTTCAATATCATATACTCTTCTAAGATATTTTTAAGCCACTTCCAACATTCTTTCAAACTTATAATAAGCAAAAGGTTTTACCTTGGTTTAGCCTAAGCCTAACTCAAAGTGCAATTCATGACCATATCAACAATACACTCAACAAATTTATTCATCTAATGTTAATCATATTGATTCAATTAAGGTGATTTTTCTCTCAATACAACTGATTTGTATTGTTTGCTAATATTTTCTTTGGAATTCTTTCTGGACATTTAGACCTAGAGGTTTATTTGTGAAATTTTACATCGTGTTATAATTTGTTAATATAGGATTCTTGAGATTGAATATATTATTGTAACTCAAAAATTTTAGATTAATTTATTTAATCTTGTTCCTCAAATTTTAATTTTTATTGCTATGATAAATTTAAATAGAAATTACTTCATTAATTTATTCAAACACTTTTTATTGATGTTACTATTAAAATAACTTTTACTCATATTCAAAAATTTTAGTTTTTAATGTAGAATTTTCTTTCTCCAATTATCCAAGACTTTTTAAACTCTTATGATATTATTATTCAGATTAACTAATTTGCAATTCTAGATCATCAATTTTTTAAAGATGTCTTTTTGATGCTGAGTCTCTTTGTTATTAGTTCATTGATTAATCTTCACTAATATTCAGATGAAATTTACATCATCATTTGCTGATTCAATTTCAATTTCTCATTCTATTCTTACAACCAGACCTAATAGTGTTCCAATTCTTCAATTCTTTTATCCTTTTCTCTCAAAATTAATAATAATTATTTATGTTCTTAACCTGAAACCTCATCGATTTGAACTTGATTGCATTTTTTCATAAACACATTCCCTTGATCTTTTTTGGTCTCACAATAACTCTAGTTTATTTAATAATAAAATCATACTCCTTAATCATTTGAGAATTTACTATAACTACATAATACATCCTCATCTGTTGTTAATCTAATTTGTTTATCCCATGAATATTAACTGATTGATAAAAGCAGAGCCTAACTTAATTCCTGCTTCTCTGGTGTTTTTTGCATACTTATAATATTTATATTTGAAAATTTAATAATTGTTAACGTTTATCATTTACCAAATCTATAAGGAATTTAAGAAAGCAATGATCCTGAGACCAATTCAGCTTTCCTATTTTAAAAGCTTTATTGCACAATTTTCAAAAAATCAAAATGTGTAGTTCCTATATTATAAAGTAAAAAAAATACTTGGAGAGCAACTAAATATTCTAGCTTATTCCTCATCTTTTTAAGTTTAACAATTTAAATCAAAAGATTATTCTTTATTAATTCTTTAAATCATTTTTTTGTATTTGCAACATTTAGATTTGTCTACTTGATTGTAAATCTTTCTTCATTAATTGTATTATATCTAATTTTAAGTTTATTCCATATATTTAATTTTTTTCTCTTTTGCTGATATTAATAAAACCGACAAATCATTTAATTTATACGATATTTATGTAATTTCTACATTCAGCTTATTGTTTGTCATATTTAAAGTATAAATTTAAAGATCTTTGACTTCATAATATTTTTTTAATTTTAATACTAATTCACTCAATTCTCGATATAATTTTTCTGTTTCTTTTAACTCTTCATTTACTGAGCCTTTAGTTTTTTAATTAGATTAACAATTTTCACTCAATATTCTATCATTCTTAAACCTCATTATTAATAACTACATTTATTTATTCTTATCTTGCTTCTTTAACAATCAAAATTGCATTTATGATATCTTTAATATCTGAATTAATGCTTAACTTTAAAATCTCCTCAAAATCATGATTAAATAATTTTGTCCACAATTTTAACAAAACTTATTTACATTCTTCCTTTTCTTATTTTAGAGTTTATATTTCATTCTAGAGTTCATGAAATGTGTAGTCATTTATATCTGGTGTAGTAATCATAATTAACAAATATTATATATATTGTATTTTTTCATAATTGCTGGAATCTAGACTCCATAGGAAATTTACCCTAGATAATCTTCTTTAAACGCTTCTTGGAGTCTTAGTTTACACACAACATTGAATAATAAGCATTAAACAAAAAAGATCGACTTTTGTACTCTTTCACTTTCTGTCTATTCTAATGTTCACTTCCTTAAATATGAGCCAATATTACGAACTTTTTTTATTTAATTATTTATCATCTCAATTTGTTATTTAGATTATTCTTACACTTGAGGATTTGCATTTTACATTAGATTATTAATAGCCAATTATCTATTCCTATTTATCATGTATAAACTATATGGTAGCTTAACACCATTGTAAATAAATAATGATTCTTGTTATGAAGTCAATGGTGTACTCTATTTTTCAGGCTATTGCTAATTCTTAACTTTATGAAATTATTTTCTGTTCAAAATAATTATAAATGATATACTTATATTAAGAATAACTCTATTGTAAATCTTATAATTCTTTAAATTTCTCATCTCTACTTTTATTTTACAGAAGAATTTTTGGAGAAACTTCGAGACTGCTTAAGCTTATTTTACTACCTTTTCTAAACTTTTTAGGAATTTCATGAAATGATTACTAAGTCTTATGATTATGTTAAACTTTATGTTAATTTTATCTGGTTGTCATAAAAACATCAGGCAATTGAAATGATCTTTGACGTTATTCTTCAAATTATATTTTTAATTATGGTTGCCCATGCATAGAGTTACTCTAGAATCGCCATTTATTTTTTATGGCTTGTATATTCTGGTTGTCAGTGTCAGAGAGTTGAAAGTAATCACCACAATGATTCATTATATAATTAATATTACAAATTTTGAATAGATTTTCTTCAAATTTGAGCCATCTGCTTCTTGCAATGAATTATTATATGCAAATTATTTCTGTGAAAGGGATTCAACCTTAATAACTCATCAGATTTAGAGTAGCATGTTTTTATTTATTCAATTGGACTACAGATTTCTCGTAAAGAAAAAGGTGACATGGCTTCTGGCTCATTCTAACATTTATGTTCATAAGATTTGATATGATGTCTCACATTTTCGAAATAGCTTTATTATTTCTGTGTAGGATCAGTTATTTGAAGTTCAATTTATTCGAGATACTCATTGATTCTTTATTCGATTGAATTCATATCAAATTGTGAACAAGATAAAGATATTAATATACATATAAATGGCCTGCATTTTGGATAAATTCATAATTAAAGTACGAGATATTTCTCTAATTTGATACTTATTAATATATCATAAATAATTTAGGTTCATTATCTAATGTAAAGGAGTGACAATTATTTGTATTGAGGATAACAACCAACTTTTTACCTATATATGATACAATATAAATAATTTATATCAATACTTATATATACTTATTGTTATAAGTATAAATAGTAAAGATGAAAAAGAAGAACTATGATGAGGACATTAGATTCAAAGTCAAACAGAGATATGCAACAATATCTGAATGGGCATTTAAAACTCTAGAATCTGAAAGAGTACCAGAAGCAAGAGCTAAGTCATTATATAGTGGGGCAATAAAGATTTAAAATCAAGATATGTATTCGTTCCATTAACCGTATAAACAAGTTAAAATATTTAGATCTAAGAGTATAGATACAAAGAAACCAAGACTTGTCTTATTGTAATAGTCTACAAAATAACATTAATAAAAAATTAATAGGAAATTGATTGATCCTCATTAAGTTACAAGATCACTTGATTAATCTGATATAGCATATTCTTAAACAAATACAGCATAGAAAAGAGCTTCGTCAAATTAAAGATTAAATAAATAATTTTAGGCAATCCATAATAAAATGAAATAAATTTTAGATTCCTACAAAAATAGAGAACGAGTATTGTTAAAATATATAGCTTCTTTGTAATAAGAGATCATCAACCTCAAATAAACTCAAAATTATACGATTTGAATATTATTTTTTTCCTCCTTTGTAATTTATTTATTTCATAAACTTGGAATTAAAAATGTCAGAAAGTGTCAAAAGGAATGTTAAATCATTTACGCCTTACGTTGCAAAACCGTCAGATATTCCTTCGGTTGAAGCATCAATGGATCCCCTAAGATAGTTTAAACCATTTTTTTAAGTGCAAAGTTCAAATGATCCTTAGGTCTAATAGATGTCAACTGATCATCAGCCCTTATTTTTCAATACTCCTTTTAACTTTGATATTTCTTAAAAAGTCTCATTAGATGGAACTAATGATCATTTGCTTAACTATTAAAAAATCATAGGACTTCCTGTAAATAGCTCTCTTGATAGTAAATCGGTGTAAAAACAACTTGATGTTTTTCAATCCTAAAGTCGCTTTTTTGCTACAAAGATGCCATTTATTTACAATTCGCCTATGTAATCCATTTATCCTTATTTACATTCCCAGTATTAAAATGAATTACCTCGCTATTCTAATCAGAGTCTAGATAAATAGGTTAAACAAAATTAAACTAATGTTTCTTAATTATTTGTTTTCAAACCTCCTTCTTAATCATAAGAATAATAAGATTTCAATTAGATTCCTTTTAATAATAAACAAGAAAAATGGTTAAGGCGTGTTAGCTCATGTGAAAGCATTGATTTAAAAGTTAAAGAAAACAGTTAGAAACAGCTTAATAAAGTCGATAATCAATTAAAGATAGAAAAACGCATTAGAAAAAGAATTTCAGTGTAAGAGAGTTCTGATTCTTATAAAGTCTAACGCAAATAGAAGGGGCCTAAAGTTAATGATACCAAAAATATCACTAAAAATTTCTCAAAAGCCATTATTTCTTATATCCTAAACAATGAAGAATTAATTTAAAAACTCATAACACCAGATTAATTTGAAAGTTTTATTGCTTTATTAAAGAATAAAAAAAATGCAATGACTAATATCAAATAGCTTCGTGATTTGTGGGTAGAAAATGGTAAGAATCCTGAATTTAATAAGATGTTTCGAATCATTAGGTATTTTTAAATTTATTATTAAGCCAATACTTTCTAAAAAATTAGGCAGTTCCATACGTTTATAATTCGAGAATTTCCAATACAGCTTGGCATCTCAAATATAGATATAATTTATTGAGAGCACTGAAAGAACCTGAAAACTTTAAATTTATTAAAGATATATGATTATCTTAGATTTAATTAATTAATATTATATATATTTCATTTTCTTTATTATTACAAATAAAACTTATTTTTATAAATCTTCTTTATTTAAACACAATATATCTCTTATTCTATCTGCGCTTTTTCTTTAAACTTTCAAAACTTTCTAGCAAATCACCAATACACACATTTTATAAATATATATTTCATATTTAATTGTTTCTTTGCATAAATAAATCTCCTAAAATATAATAAAGCAATTTGAATATATTATTTTATTGAAACAATAATATTATTATATAATTTATGGTCTATCTAAAATACTTAAAAACACTCATAAAATTTAAGTTATAACTTCAAATATTAAATAATTATATATTTAAAAAGACATTAAGAAAGAACTCTTATAGAAATGATAAAACAAATGCAAACCAAAATTTTTGATTTGAAATAGTATTTAAATAATTATAAATAAATAGGGGTAGATGACCCAAGATAAAACAGACCTACAATAAAATGGAATTAAAAAAAACACTGAATAATTATCAATATTATAAATCTAACATTCATTTAAAAATAATTAAGAAATATCTTATTCTTTACATAACTAATATTAAGAATATCTATTCTATAGCTAATTGTTAAAGTCCTTATAAATTAGGCTATAATTATAAAGCGAGTATATTACTTTAATATTCTTTTTCGTAATAATTCTGTATTATAAGAATTATTAACATAATCTTGCAAAAATGTAGGTTGAAATTAAAATACATAATAAAAGATATTACAGTTCATCATTTGCTGCAATAAGATATAAAATTGAGCCAAGCCAAACATTTTCTTTAAGGATAAAAATGTAAAGGCCATCAATATTAAAAATCAATAAGTAATTAGTTTAATTTCAATGATATTCGATTATTAATTTAAACTATTTAGATTTAAGTATGAAAAATAAGAGAAGATAAAGATGAATAAGTTTATGAGTAATGAAAGAAAGATTAATAGATTTGTTCTTATTATTTAGGAAGAATCAAAGAAATTGATAACCAATCTCAATTAAATAATAAATTTAAGCTGTTGAGAATGAGAGACGGAATTACAAATGAAATATTAGAGTACATATTGTTTGAACTAATTTAAGTTTATGAAATTGATTATACTATTTATTGTATCCAAAAATGACAGTTTTTCAATGAATTATTATTATTATTCTTAATAGTTTGGTAAATAGAAAACTAGTAAAAGATCAAATGTTATATTGTAAAAGACAAGGAGATTAAGAAACTTTATGGATATACTATGTTTGAGTCATATTATTAAATTGTGGACAGTATTTGTTAAACCATATTTGATTATATTTCATCAATACTATGGATGTAAATAAATCAGTAGAAGATAAATATGATAATTTATGGAGAAATATAATCAAGATAATATTGAAGTACATAAAGGATTATCTATAAAGGTAT